GGGTGTGTGGAGTGGGTCATGTAGTGGAGGGTGGGGTGTGTGGAGTGGGTCATGTAGTGGAGGGTGGGGTGCAGGGGTTAGCAGGTGAAGGCGAGTTTGAAGAGGTGGGTTTTGAGGGCTTGTTTGAATGATGATAGGGAGGGAGCCTCACGGATGTGGATGGGGAGGGCATTCCAGAGGGGAGGTGCAGCAGCTGAGAAGGCCCTGTCACCCCAGGTCCGGTGCTTGGTCATGATGGTCTTCAGAGTGTTTGCACCGGTGGACCTGAGGCAACGGGTTGGGGCGTGGAGGGGGAGGAGGTCTGAAAGGTAGGGAGGGGCCAGGTTGTTTAGGGCTTTGTAGGTGGTGAGTAGTATTTTGAAGTCTATTCTGTATTTGACCGGGAGCCAGTGGAGGTTGCGAAGGACCGGGGTGATGTGTTCATAGCAGCGGGTGGAAGTGAGCAGTCGAGCGGCGGAGTTCTGAACATATTGCCGTTTATTGATGATTTTGTTGGGAGAACCATAGAGGATGCTGTTGCAGTAGTCGAGTCTGGAGGTTATGAGGGCATGGATGAGAATTTCGGTGGTGGCAGAGGACAGGGAGGGTCGGAGGCGTGCAATGTTCCTGAGGTGAAAGAAGGCAGTCTTGGTGATGTGGTTGGCGTGGGGTAGGAAACAGAGGGTGGGGTCGAGGATGATACCGAGGTTGCGGACCTGGGTGGAGGGGGTGACGATGGAGCCATCAATGTTGAGGGAGAAGGGCTGGGCTGGAGGGGTAAGGGAGTTAGGGCCGATGAGTATTTCAGATTTGTTGCAGTTGAGTTTGAGAAAGTTCTGTTGCATCCATGATTTTATATCAGTGAGACAGGTGGTGAGAGTGGAGTGGGTGACGGAGGTGATGGTCTTGGTGGAGAAGTAGAGTTGGGTGTCGTCAGCGTAGCAGTGGAAGTTGAGACCATGACGACGGATGATTTGTCCAAGGGGAAGGATGTAAATGATGAAGAGGAGGGGACCAAGCACGGAACCTCGGGGGACACCGTGGGTGACTGGGGAGGTAGAGGATTTACAGTTGTTTATTGAAATGAATTGATGTCGGTCTGAGAGATATGAGGTGAACCAGGAGAGGGCAGTGCCAGTTATGCCAAGGGAGTACTGGAGATGTGAGAGGAGGATGGAGTGGTTGATAGTGTCGAAGGCGGCGCTGAGGTCAAGGAGGATGAGGATGGTGAGGAATCCAGAGTTAGCAGAGAGAAGTATATCATTTGTGATTTTCAAAAGGGCGGTTTCTGTGCTGTTTTGAACGGAAGCCAGATTGGAAGGGTTCATAGAGATTATGGAGATTGAGGTGGGACTTGAGTTGTGATGCAACAGCTCTCTCAAGGACTTTGGACAGGTAGGGGAGGTTGGAGATGGGCCGGTAGTTGTTGGGGATGTCGGGGTCAAGACCAGATTTTTTCAGCACGGGGGTGACAGCAGCGATCTTGAGTGTGGGGGGTATGAGACCAGAAGACAGTGAGGAGTTGATGATGTTGGTGATGAGAGGGGAGAGTGTGGAGGGAGGCCTTGACTAAGGAAGAGGGGAGGGGGTCAAGGGCACAGGTGGAGGTCTTCATGCTGGAGTGTATGGAGGAGAGGTCCATTTCCGTGATTGAACTGAAGGATGAGAGTGAGTGGCTTGGAAGTAGGGGAGAGTCATGTTGAGGGCTTGGGGGGGCGGTGGGGGCGGCCAGCTGGTTGTGTATTGCAATGATTTTGTCGTTGAAGAAGGATAGAAATGAGGTGCATTTGCTGGTGGTGAAGGAGGTGGAGATGGTGTCCATGGGCTTGAGGAGTTTGTTGATGGTGGAGAAAAGCGTTTTGGGGTTGTTGGAGCCAGATTGGATGATGGAGGAGTAGTGAGAGGAGCGAGCGGTGTTCAGGGCATCTTTATATTGTTGTTGGTGGAGTTTGAAGGCATCAAGGTGAACAGTAAGTCCAGTTTTTTTGGCAAGACGTTCCAGTTGACGGCCCTGCGCTTTGAGGAGGCGAAGTCGGTCAGTGTACCAGGGGGCGGAGTGGGTGAAGGAGATGAGTTTGGATTTTTTGGGGGCGATGACGTCAAAACAGAAGGAGAGTGCATCATTATAGTACTTGACCAGGGCAGTGGGGGAGGCAGTCGAAATCGGGGCCGAGGCAGAGACAGTGGCAGCCAAGGTGGAGGAGAGCGAGGGGATGTTGATGGACTTGATGTTCCGGAATGCTATGGTGCGATTCTGCTTAACATGGGGGGTGGGGATGTCTATGTCCAAGGTGATAGCCAGCATTCAGCATTTCTTTATATTCTGGCCACTTGGGGGCAGCACAACAACCCATAAACACAACATTAACATCAATTCATAGAGTTGTTATGGCAGACATGATAGTGAACAGTTGCCTGTTTACAGGCACAGAGTAACATACGCTTCACGTTTCTGGCCACCAAATGAATAAAAGTCCAATAATTCTGCTGATATTGCTGCAAAACAATGAGGTGAAAGACGCTCTATGGAGCTGAGGGGAACTGCAGAGTGGAGGAATAACTCACTGTGGGTTTAGAAATACATATTTCATACACGTGTTGTCATTTGGCTTTAAAGATTTACATGTTCAGTAGAGATGGAAGGCTTTGGACTGAGTGTCACTGAGACACTAGGGAAGTCCCAAAGTCTAACATCGCTTTGGTCTTTATATGGAATCCAATGACATTAACAAATACTGTATATAGATTCACATTAAATCACACTAACAGAAGACCGGATTTGTAAAATCAAAAGTGCAAACATGAACAGCAATCTGCACATGCAGAGTTTCCTCCGGTGGTGTAATCTAACTCACCATGTCTGCCAGTGCAATGTACAGGAACATTCCTCCCGCGATGGCAAAGATTGCATTGGGGGCAAAATTGCTCCCGAGCAGGATGCCAAACACAAGACCGATGTAACACGACACGGCTGACAGCAGGTTGAAGAAGATGGCCTGTGGGACGGTCATTCCAGCATTCAGCAGGATAACAAAGTCACCTGAAGACAGAAGTTCAACAGCCAGTCTGAGCATCATTCTAAAAGCAATGCAAGTCATTTTACTCACTTGGAACTAACATTCGGATATTATTCATGTCAAAGCCGAGGTTTAAAACATAGTGGAAAGAGGCTTAACTGAAATATTCCGTTAACTTTAGCTTTGAGTTTAAGACTTTAAACCGCAAACCAAAGAAGAATCATGAAGTTTGATAAGACTTACAGACCTTTCTTATTCAGCTTTGGCACAGAAATGATTTTAGAGTTGAAAGAAGCTCTAAATAGCAACAACACACTTTGCATTTCTGCTCAATAATAGTTGGAAGTAAACCATAAAAAGAGTGTTCAAGACACATACCATGAAACCGTAACGTTCCCAGTTTGTCGCCTCATTTCCTGTCTACTCTCTATTAACGCCTTCAATGGAGCAGAAAAAAGTTAAAAATAAGTTCAAAGCATGTTCTTTCTCACGTTATAGTAAAGATATATCAACCTGTTTTTAATTCCGTAAACCCAGTTTTCCTGTTTAGCGTTGACCTGAATGTCTTTAAGGTTCATTATGTTGTATTCCAGTCTCACAGAACCACATATTCTGTATCGGACTGTTCCAGCTCTTCATTGGAGCTGTGATGTTTAAACTGATGCCATTAAAATGTAGATATTATAGATGTTGAAACATTTCCCCAAATTCACCATGAAATATTTGGTATCTTTGGGAACTTTGGGATCCAGTAACGTCCGATTGGAGCGATGTTTGTAATGACTGATCTTCACCTGGTCGAGCAGGTTTAGAGTCTCACTCACCCAGCTCGTGGGGGAACTCCTCACACACGATGGCGGTGGACGTGCTGAACCCCGTCAGTACCGACACAGTGAACGAGGCGCCGATGGCCAGACCATCGATGAAGTTGTGCAGCGCGTCGCTCAGCGTTATCATCCACGCCACCGTCTTGATGCTGGAGACGTGTCGCCCACGCAGCCAGTGGCACATCACATCAGCCCCCTGGGCGTCCTGGAGGAGGGAGGAGACGGGTTAAAGGCACACGACCACAGCTGCTGTGTGATTATTACACCAACGCAGAGTGATGTGTAAACAATGACTTATGGCTTCAGTGAGCCACGAAGAAAACTCATAATGATATCTTTAAAACCCAAAGTTCAAATCAGACAGAAAATGTTGTTTTTGGCATCTGATCAATAACTTGTTAATGGGCACATGTCATTATAAACCTCAGTGCTTTTGTGCATATATTTCGGTATCTGCAATTTACAAAATATGAATAAAGAATATGAATATGAAATAAATACGACCCAGAGATTTCTTTTTGCGCTGCCTAGATCAGAAAAGATTTGATTCAACAAGCCGATCACATCTGGCTTCCCTTTCTATGCAACATGTGTTTCTCTCCAGCCAATCAGAGCGGACAGAGCTTCTGCAGGAGGGCTCTTAAAGAGACAGGCGCTGAAACTGAGCGTTTCATTTAGAGGAAAATAAAGGTTTGTTCAGACAGACAGTATGAGGACAAATAAAGTGTTTCTCCAACATTAAAGCATGTCAACATGTTGTAGAAGAAACACAAAGTACAAGTATGAACCTGAAAATGAGCATAATATGTCTCCTTTAAGGCATTCTATCATTGATGTTACTAACTAGAGTCCCCAGATGTTTGATGTGGACATCACTGCAGTGGTAAAAGCTTTCAACTAGACTAAGAGTCTACAGCCGTACCAGCAGCAGCAGCTCTGAGGCTCAACTTGAGTAAATTGTGCTTTAAGCTAAATGCTAACAACAGCTTGCTAACATGCTTGCAATGACAATGCTAAAAATGTTTAGCAGGTTTAATCTTTACCATGTTCACCATCTTATCTTGTCTATTAACCAAAGACATTACAGTTCATCCTGAGAGGGACATGAATGTCTTTGGACTCAATTTATTTGCATCTATCGAATAGTTGTTGAGACTTTTCACAGAAAACCTCTTGGTGGTGTTAGAGAAGCAGCAGGTCAGCGGGATTCATCCTCTGGAGACCACGAATGTACAAACTTTCACAGCAATCCGACCAATAGTTTCACCAAAGACGAGCCAGACTGAACAACCGCCGGGCACAAAGACAAAGACTGAGGAAATCTTAAAGGTAACAGATACTAATTAATCAAACTACAGGAACTATTCTACCTACATGAATGTGCAGCATTTCGTATCGGAACTCTTCAATTACAAATATAATGGCAGAAGTGTTTTTAATGGGAAACCAGAGAACAGGCGGACATTAAAGAGCCTCTGGGCTTCGGTTGAAGACAAAACGCCCCTTTTATTATCCACGGCCAACAAGGAGTCTTTGTGTTCAACTCACACAACTCCAGCATTTAGCAGGAGAGGAAGGATCCGAGGCCTTCATCCCTCTGTGACACCGGCATGTCTGTTTGTTTAGTGTTTTCATCTTCTCCACATGACACAAGAGGTTTCACTGTTAAACATTGACAGCAGCGCTAATTGCCTCCCGTCACTGATAACAGCTCAATAAATTACTCTTCAGTAAAAACTGAGCTTGCAGGAACACAAGGACATGTTCTGAAATACTGATCACGTTGCCACAACTTCCATCTCTGCATGTAACTCGCACCATCACGACTCATAGGTTTAAATACCATCGTGCATTATAGTCCATGATGCAGTCAGTCAGGTGTTTCCGTGATAGAGAGACAAATCTCTATCACGCACACAATGACTTAAGTTCACTCACTGTTTCTATTAGCTTCTCTTTACGGCTGCTCATAGAGAACAGATGATGTGAGTACGAGGGGGATTGCTGTGGAGGCTAAGGTGACTTGTGTGCAGACAGAGTTGATCAGCGCCAACAGGCTGAAAATAAAAGTATCATTCCAACATCTGTACTGTGTCATTCAGCCAGGAGAGCGAGCGCCGGTACCTGAGGAGATGTCTCGTTGGGCTCTGGGTTCGGGCTGCTCTTGTCCGTGTTGATGGTGTTGATGGTGGTCAGAACGATGGAGTCCTTCTTCTCCACTACGTCTCCGTTCTGGAGGGAGTTTTCTTGAGGCCGCTCTGCAGGAGCGAAGTGGCTGTGGCCATGCTGAGGACACCAGAGGCAAAGCAAAGTCAGAGAAGCAGCAGAGTCGATGTCCAAGAAGATGGAGTCAGAGAGAAACACCATGAAGGTTAATGAACTGGTAGGCTGAGGGGTACATCAAAATGTTACGTCTGCAATACTTTATGAAATACATGTAGATTCAAAACTACTCCGAATACTTCAACAAGGGGTTGTTCAAAGCTAAGCTAACTGACGTAGCTTCATATTAAACGTAGAGCATATTTCCCAGAATGCCAACCTGTCCTTGTGTACAGCTTTATTCTAACGTTTCATTCTCACTGACTTCTTCACCAAAAATATTTCTGTTTCCTGATTAAAAGCTCTGCGTAGGTGTAAAGTTAACACAGAAGCTGTAAACTGTGCCATCGTATAAATCTTAGATTGGTTGAAGTTCACAATGTGTGACCCTTGTGTCCTTGACCCAGAATGATTAACAGCAACAACAGGAGACATTAGGTGCACGACTCCCCTTAGCAGCCACTTCAGCTAATAAACAGTTGATTCAGTGGCAATGGAAGAAACGTGTTTGCATCTTAATAAACTCACTGAACTGTTACCTTACCTCATCGTCTACCCGGAGAGACATCTTCAGGATCTTCTCCATGAAGAACAAGATGTAAAACCCTCCAAATATTCCAACTGCATTCGCCACATAGTTATCAATTTTGGGATCAAAGCCCAGAGCCTGTGGAGTAACAGGAGAATGTTAACGGCATGTTAGCAAACAGAACCTCCCTTTATTCACACTACAACATGAAGCCATGGTACCTGCTCCACCGGTTACAGACCTCGGGTATGAGCTGAAGCACAGCGTTGGAGAAGAGCGTCCCGATGGCCAGGCCGATGAAGTAGGTCAGCACTTTGGGGAAATAAGGCTTCTTGGTGAAGGGGATGAGGAAGAGACCGAGCAGGGACGCCAGGTTGATCACAGTGACGGCCAGAAACCCATAACCCCACACTGTCAGGGCACCAAGGAGGATTAACAGGTCACTATAGTGCTACACGCTGTGGAGATGTTGTGTGCTTTCAGCTTGTTCTTGTGGTGTTTTTGTTTCTTTTTAGATTTTCCGTCTTCAAAAGCTCCTCCATCGTGATGTGAACCTATATCTTAACATGCATTACAACCGAGTTACCAAACACAACAAACTCAACAAAAGACACAAAATTGTGTACTTGCAGAGGAGAGATTCTGTTCACAAGGCCGGTGAAGAAACAGCGTGCATGATGAACAACACACTGAACAACAGTCACAGTTGGTTGTAACTGTGTCAACAGCACCGAGGAGCGAGCTGAGAGGTCAGCGGCTCTGTGAGTCAATCAAGGACACCGTGTGACTGTGACGGTCCTCCTGTGTACCTGAAGCCAAGGTCCACCATGACAGAGGATGCTGTATGCTGTACAGATGGAGGGGCTATATCAATACAACTTGAATGTAATGTAATGAGCCAAGTAATGAAGAGAGATAGAGAGATGAGCTGATACGAAAGGTCCAGATTCTAACATGAGAATCCAATAAGACGAGCCGACACGTCCAGTCGCTTACATTTAATTTACTTATAAACAAAGAGAGGAAATAAGAGCTCAGACTGATGGTTAACAACAGAGCAGATTAACAGTAACTCAGCTGCCAGAAGTGTTCAGATTCAGATATTGTACTTTTTAAAGTATCAATACTACACTGTAAAAAATACTCAATGTTCAAAGTAAAAGTCCTGATTACAAAATCAAAATTCAGTAAAAGTACAAAAGTATTGGCATTAAAATATACCTAAAGTACCAAAATGATGCAGAATGAACCATTTTGTAACAATAACTATTAGATGAGTGGATTATTATTATTGATGCTTTAATGTGTTTATTACTTTAATGTTTCAGCTGGTAAAGGAAGAATACTGTGTGGCTGTTTGTTGACTTGGCCTTTGACTCTGCTTGATAGGCTTCAGGACGTTGGTCTGTCAGAGGGTTTAACAGCTATTGTTCTGTTGGTCTGTCAGAGGTCTGGCTGGTTTAACAGCTATTGTTCTGGGTGTTTATCTGTGAGAGCTGAGGGTTACCTATCTGACCCACTGTCTCTGTCCAAGGGTTCCTCAGGGGTCCAATCAGGTCCAACCTTATTCAAAATCTACATAAACAACGTTGCTCACGCTGAGAGTGGCTCTCGCATCCATTTATATGCAGACGACACCATCTTGTACACATGTAGCTCCTCCCTGAATATCGCCCTGACTTTCATCCTTCACCTTCTCTTAAACACGAACAAACCAAATGTCTGGTTTTCAACAGACACTTACCACAAAATACCTGCACTCTCGATATCTCCTCCCTGGATGGTATCTGGCTAGAACGTCTGCTCCCTTTAACACGCACATGAACGCACTGCTTTCCAAAGTCAGATTAAGAACTGGTCTTCTGTACCGTAACAAAGCCTCCTTCACCCACACTACAAAGCACACCCTGGTCCTCCCCATCTCAGACTGTGGTGACGTAATCTACAGGTGCTTCTCAATAAACTAGATGTCATCTACCACGCAGCCAGCCTCCTGTCAACACTCACCACTGCAGCCTGTACTGTACATATGATGATGCTGTAACTGTTGTATGAGATTGTTTGAGATGTTGTATTTGTTTGTAACGACTTGCCTCCTGTTGCTGCCTCTTTGGCCAGGTCGTCGTCGGTCAAAATAAAAGAATAGAAAGTAAGGGGACGAGGTTTGTGTCCATATGTGCTTTAAATGTCTTTACGTCATCCGCATATATCTACACAAATATCCATTACACCTCCATGTCTAAGTGTGTCCAGTGTTTCTTACTGGTGCTGAAGACAGAGACTGAAGTTGTGTCAGACTCAAAGTTCATGTTTGGAAACAGTAAAGTAATCTAAACACCAGGTCCGTTCAGTAACGGCTCTGGAGCTTTCGATCGTATGTTCTTCATCAGGTGGAGTCTTAGATGTTCAAATCTCCATTTCTCTGAGCAGGACTTTTTGTCCATGTTGACGAGATTGAAAGTTCACGCTTTCATTTGAAAACAGCAGTTTGCAAAACTGTGTTTGTGGTGAGATCATTCTATTTAGGGTTCACAGTGTCCTCCATCCACAGTGACGGAGTAATGATCTCTGGCAGATTAAATGCAACAAACCCTCATGAACTGTGAGTTATCTGAGTAGCGGGGGTTTCAACAAATAAACCTGCGTGTGATGAAGCAACTCACCCGAGTAGTCGAGGGGCTGAGTAGCTTTGTGGTCGGTGTAGGGGCAGGAGGGCAGCAGCACCTGGGTCAACACAGCGGGGCAGATTCTCCCCAGATGTCCCACAGTCAGCTGGCTGACATTACTCAACCCGAAGTGGGACAAGATCTGCTCAGCTGAGGGACACTGAGGGGCAGAAAGACATTAGATATCGTTTTAATTGTTCCTAAATCTATATTTTGTCTCTAACATACTTTCTGTTTTGATTGTAATGCTCATCCGTCTTCTTCTTGATGTAAGTTTCATCTTTGTGTATGGAATGTGCGATGTGAGTTATGTTTCTAATGTTCAGTAATGACATTATGAAGTTATCCTTAACATTAAGAGTAGAGTGAAGGTAAAACAGCACTCGAAGACTTATGCACAGTTACATAAGTTTAATGTTATTATATATCACAAGTCAATTCCAAATAAACATATTTTGTGAATTATTTCATTATTAAATGCATTAATTTAAAAAGGAAAATATATTGTCAATGATATAATAATAATAATATGTTTATTTAGTGTACCACCGCTAATAGAACATGATTCCCAAAGTGCTTTATAATAATATAATAAAAGTGAAGATTTGAAAGCATAAAAGTTTAAAAACAATCAATAAAATAAAAGAATAATAGAAATGATTATGTTCAGCCCCATCGTGTACGCCAACAGATAACATATTACACAGAATGTCTCAGGCATTTATTATTAACGTGTTAATTACTATATAAAAGTCTGTTTCACGCAGTAAGAAATCTATAATAAGCTCATTTAGATTCCATCAGTATGTTGTGTAATAAATAAATATGAACGTGCTCACCTCCTGGTCCGCCAGCGGGTTCCCCTCACTTACTGCCTGAGATCTTCTGTCGGAGACCACCAGCAGTAGATCATCCAGGTTCTCCATCGAGATGGAACTATTTTGGCCATAATATCGTAAAATGTTCTCTAGAAACACGCGTCTGTCCACAGCCACGTTCATACTCACAGACTCTGGAGTACAGACTGAAACGCACGTAATTAAACATATTAATTTAAACATAGCTGTTGGTTTTTATGCTGTTTCCTTCAGTTCATAAATCAGCTACTTCTGCTGCTCTGTAAAAATAAAATAAATCAATAAATCCGTGGAGTTTGTTCTCGGTCCGGAATCACATCCATGTTCCAGTGGGAGCAGACTTCTCGTGTTTGCGGGTTGTGTGAAGGCAGCAGCAGCGTGTTGTGATGAGATCTGAGGGGTCGGAGGATCAGAGGACTATCAGAGGATCAGTTCAAAGATCGGTCTGCAGAGCCGTGGAGGGAAAACATGGAGCTGACCGACCGCGTGCACTCAGTGTGTCAATGCTTTCTTTTGTGACCGACTTTCTCACTCGGTATGCAACGTGCTCTCACACACACACACACACACACACACACACACACACGCTTACTTAAAGTGTGCGTGTGTAAAGGCTAACAGTGGGAACAAAGTCACTATAGCCTTTAACTCAGTCTACAGCTGTGACTCAATTATGAAACAGCTGGATGGAAGATGAAAAAAAGAAATCATAAACATGAAACATGAGCGTCTGAAGCTCCGCGTCGCCCCCTGGTGGCAGCTGGTGGTCACCGCATGTATGCGTCAAGATGTCCCATATTATCTGCAAAGAAGTTGTTTTTGTTGCCGTTTACATTCCTTGTGATGCAGATTTAATAACTGCACCTCAGGAATGCACGAGTGCTTTTATTATGTGTTGCTTGTCATGTTTTTCTGCATTGTGTTGCATAATGACAATAAATGAGTTTTTATGCCTCAGATCACTTTGTTTTTAAACTAAAGCTGTTCATGTGATATAATAATATATTTGGTACATAAAGTAATCTACTACTTTAGGCTACCTTTCCAATATTAATTCCTTGATTTTATTTTGTCTCTATTTAGTTGGTTCGTTGACTAATCGCTCGGAAAAAAAGAAAAAAGTTTTTTTAGACCATTATTCATATTTTATGTTTTTTTTCATGCTGAATGTCTTATTATTTAACTTATTTAACCAATGAGCACATCTCAGGTACACGAGACTTAACGTGGTGCTTCTGTGTGTCTGCTGCAGGAACAGCTATGCGTCCCTCTTATTAACGTCCTCTTATCTGTTCTTAATCCTGTCTTTGTGTCGGTGCAGCTCATCTCTAACATGTAAGTGCATTTAAACGTATATGTATATAACTGTGTACGGGTATCTTTACATCAACAGTTAGTTTGTATCTTGGCGTTGTTTAGAGTCAGTGGGGGTGGAAGTAGCTTCTGTGTGTGTGGGTGTACTTGTGTTGTTTCATGTATTTTCCACACACACACACACACACACACACACACACACACACACACACACACACACACACACGAAAAAGTGTTTGCCCCCTTCCTGATTTCTTTGCATGTTTGTCACACTTAAATGTTTCAGATCATCAAACAAATTTAAATATTAGACAAGGATAACACAAGTAAACACAAAATGCAGTTTTTAAATGAAGGTTTTTATTATTAAGGGAAAAAAAAATCCAAACCTACATGACCCTGTGTGAAAAAGTGATTCACACATTCTACATACACACACACACACATTCTATATACACGCACACACACGCACGCACACTATATACACACGCACACACACGCACGCACACTATATACACACACACATTCTATACACACGCACGCACGCTATATACACACGCACGCACGCAATACACACGCACGCACGCAATACACACGCACGCACGCAATATACACACTATATACACACACTATATACACACACTATATACACACACACACAATAGCTACAATCTACAGACTCAGACTTTTATACTGTACGTAGTATCTCTATAAATAGATTCATAATAGTTGGATGTCTAGTTTCTTACCTAACTTTGTGTCTGTTTCTGTCTTCCTGTAAATTGTTGAAGAACATTGAGAGAAACCTAAAACTGTTTTTATGTGTTCACATATGAAGCCGATTCAGATTCCACCGTCTTCATTTTAAACACTGAATGACTCTTTTTATTTAAAGAGATACATTTGGACTATTTTATCTGTACATTTATATTCATGATTCTTGACTCTTGCAGCACTTCTGTTCTTCTTTGTTTTATTGAGAGCGTTTTGCATTAAATACCTGCGAGGTGAACTTCTTGAATGTGGAGATATGAGACAATAAACCGGTTTCTCATTCTGATTTTTGTAATTTTTCATTTATAAACACTGAATTGCTGTTGATGCAATTAGTTAAAAAAAAAACAACCAAAAAACATCAATCAACAGAATGAAATTCTTTGATGTCCAAGAACAAAGCTACAGAAATGTATCTACATTCAGACAGTACTGCAAATACTAATACATAATCAATGAGGTCAAGTGTTAAGAGTCTTCACTCTGTTCATCATCTGAGAAATGTGCAAAAAGGAAAAAACTCCAAAAAGAAAAGCGTTTTCTGTGAACAGCACAAAACGATCCGAAAGATCAGAACCGGTTCAGACGACGTGTCGTCTCTTTGGAGGAGGAAACTTCATTTAACTTAATGAATAAAGGATTCATCTGTTTCAGCAGCTGAATCATCAAAGACTGAGATGTGTGTTGGCTCGTTCACCTTCATGAAGCTCACCCTTCATCCTTTGTGTGCTTCATGCTTCATGGTCCTGGTGAACACAGTGGGTCCGCCTGTTGTCTCCAGCTGCTAAAAACACCTTCAATAGTTTCCTTTCTTTGGATATTTTCAGGCTTTTCTGCTCCGATGAGGAAAAACAAATCTTTGGTTCAGCAAGAAAACAAGTTTAAACATTTAGGGAATTGGCATCGGTAAAAATAAATTAATCTTTCCGACACTCAAAAACCCACAAAGATGAAATCTTGAAGGACAGACAATCGACTGCCTCTGCACTGTGGTTCACCTGCACGTGGAGGCTGGCTGGTCTCAGGTCAGTATACGTCCCTTAAAGACGTGATGGTGAGCCATCGGGAGAGTTCTTCCACGCTGGTTTTACGCCAAGCGTCAAAGCTGACCGTCCTGTTTCTAGAAAGCATCAGGAAGCCGTTGGAGCTGAAGCGTCCGGGGACGTTTCCCACATCGAGCCAGACGAAGGCAGCCACAGAGGCAGAGTGGAGGGTGACGCTGTAGCCGGCCTGATCCTCCTGCACCACAGCCTGCAGGGAACACACACACACGCACACACAGAGACACACACACACACACACACACGGGTTATAATGAGTGGATATGAGCATCAACGTGTCAATAAAGTGTGTTAGAAGTCCACTGTGTGTGTCTTTGTGGCCTTGGTTCTCCCTTCCTCACTCTCTCGCCACATTTCCTGTCTGTACCTCGACATTGACTACCAAAATAAGGGCGTGAATTACATCAAATCAACATTTGAAATCCGGAGGCTGCGGTGGAATAGCTTTTTGTTGATTTGTTATTGTGTAACCCCCTACACGTTATAGATTAATGGAGTCTTCCATCCCTGCTTCCATAAATCTGTGTATGAATGAATGAAAGCAGACTTTTGAACACGGTGTCTTACTGTGATGTTGGGTCTCTGGAGGCCCTGAGCGTCTTTGGGTGAGCACAGGAAGTGGTGGTTGGTGGGACCCTGCTGGCCGCCGCTGTCCTCCAGGTGGAAGGTGAGCAGGCAGGTGAGGCGGGTGCAGCTTCCACATCCTGCCAGCAGGGCGGCGACTGGCTGTTTAAAAACGATCGCCACGCTGCCTCCGGGGACCGGGAGCAGGTCCGACTTCAGCGTGCACACCGGATCCAGATCAGACCAGGAGTACGCGGACACCTGATCCACAAGAGAACAGACCTGTTTCTGCACGTGTGTCACACATCTGAATACAAACACAGTTTATGTTACTGAGACGGAGGAAGTGAAGGACTGATGTTTAAATTCAGAGTTCAGTGATGCTGTTAACATTTACATTAACATTTTATGTTCAATGTAAAGAAGTTGCTTGTTTTGCTAAATGAATGAGAAACAAACTTGGGAATAATAACAATGTTCTAAGTTGCGCTGCATCTTGATTTTATTTTTAGTTATTTACCTTAAATTAGATTAAAGTGATATATGAATAACAAAAACAACTCTCTTGGATTTATTGTCTCATGTTTTTAACTTTGCTCCAGTATCAACATGTCATCAGCAGCTTGAATCCAGTGATGTAACGTCCTGGCATCACAACGCCAAACTGTTCTAACTCCAGAGTTAAATGCACTTTTGTAAATTGTCTTTCTATTTTAATTTGAATGAAATTCTGCACTGAAAACTTCAAAAGTAAGGTGAGTGTGAGCTACACAGGGAGGAAGTGAGAGACGTGATGAATTCATCTGATTTGTATCACATTAACTGTATAATGAGGCTGTTCTGTAATCTGTTTTTATTAATGCATGCTGTTGTTATTGTTCTTATTCTGGTTTTAACGTGTGCACAGAGATACGTAGAGGCTGTTAGAGAGGGAAGCCTTTTCTCTCTACGTCTAGCTGTTGTTCCCTCTGAGTTTGAACGCACGTGTTGAAGCTGTTTGGACAAACACTGGCTGCTCAGTGAATGTAGAGACACAGCTGACAGTTGTAACGTACCACAGCCCTGAGCTCCAGGTCGGGACTCAGGTCTGAGACGGCGTAGACGAACAGCGTGCCGCCATCCTCGAAGCCCACCGGCAGCACGGCGGCGAAGAAGTTCTGCGCAAAATAATGCAGCATTTTCCACTTCCCACCGAACTCTGCACACACAAGGACATGATTATTGTCCTTATAACACTTTTCTCAAAGTATTTCCAAAATATAAACAAGTTCAACGTCAAAAGGTTTCAGCAAAGCGTCGATCTAGAAATGTGCCGAGTTGGCGTTCGCTCACCGATCGATGACCAGGACGGCGCCTGCCAGACGTCGTTGAGCTGCCAGTAGAGAGCGCCCATCGTGTGACCTCTTCCCTCGATGATCTCACTCCGACTCCGCCGATAGAACTCCGTCTGTGACTTCACACACTGAGCCTGCATCACCTGCACATGATACGTTACTACGTGTGAGCTGTGTTCTTAGAGCGGGAGACGGGGGGGTCTTTAGGGGGAGACAGCGGGTCACCTGTAGACGCCACATAGAAGTGGTGTCATACGTGTGTCATACGTGTCATATGAAGTGATGTACATTGTACGAGAGCTGGGAACCTGAAGATGTATTTGAGATGCAGCGGTGTGTCAAGTTGTTCTCGTCATGAATCATAAATAAAAGATGGTAAATGAATGGAAATACAGTGTGAAAGGGCTTAAAACATTATGATGGAAGTATGTGATGCATCATATCTAATATTTACACAGGTTTGGAGCAAAAGTCAACAATTCTTGACCACTCAAAAATCATAACAAATGGCAAAAAGATCCTTCCAAAATTCCGCATTATGACACAAAGACCTTGAAGACCGTAAAAAACATCCATGCTGCCATTTTTTTTCTAGAACTTTTGACATCTGCAGATTTCTGAAAGATGGCAGCACTTCTGTTCTCGATACGGTTCAGAAACCTTCCGATTATCGATATACCAGGAGGGCCACACATCCTCTGAGCGTCCTCGGCCTGTAGTCAGGCGTTGTAGAGTTTCATGAAGCTGTGATAGATAGATATATTATTCGTGAGGTCACAACAAGTCTTTTCTACAGAAACATGATCTCAGAACATCATCACTCATCAATACAATTGGTCTCATTGGATCCACAAGAGTCTCAGCTTTCCTCCAATTCCAACACGGTTTATTATGCAGAAATATTAAAATATACCTTTTTTAGAATCGGCAAAAATCAGTCATAGTGAATGCAAAACACTGCATGTTTTCTGACCAAACCTGCATTTATTAACATAAAGGGAAGACTGGTGGGTACAGATTGAACCTTTTCATTCATACTGTATATCTGGAGGAGAGAGATCAGAGCGTTATGAGGCCGAGTGGTGTGTAGAGAGAGAGTTGACCCGAGTGGTGTGTAGAGAG